AAATTCTTAACCAAATTCGCTGCTATAGCAGCGATTTTGAAGAAAAAAAAGTTTTTTTTTTTTGAGAAAATATGCAGCGATTTTTATTTTTGTTTTGTCAGAAGCCCTTTTGGTTAATTTTTTTTTTGATGTGTTGTTTTAGTTTTTTTAAAGAAAAAAAAGCAGCGATTTTTAATAAAAAAAAATAAAAAATTTTTTTAGACGAAATCGCTGCTAGGGCAGCGATTTTGTCATTTTGTCAGAGGAAAATCGCTGCTGACGCAGCGATTTTGCCCTTTTGGCTAAAATAAAAAGTGATGTGCCCTTTTGGAATTTTTGACCTTTTTTTTTGCCCTTTAGGCTCCGGACTCGCATTAAGAAGAAGAAGGGGGTTAAAATGGTGGGTGGATCCAATGGAGAAGAAAAGAAGAAATTTGGTTGGGTTGGGTTGGGTTGGAGGGGGGGGGGTGGCGTGTTGAAGCTTTGAAGAAGACGATTTCTTTTTTTGGCATTTTTCATTTATTTTTAAAAAAATCATGTCTTTAATATAAAATATTATACTCACTCGCTTTAAAACACATGAAATCACACATTATTCCAAGTCAGCAATATTAGAGCCACATGTGTTTAATCAATGGTCAGAGGTGTTTACAATATTGTATTTCAATAAAGTTTAAGAGTTCTGTTGACAAAGTCGCAAGTACAAAGATTCAATTTACAAACGGAACCAAGTACAAGAGCCTCTCATGTCATTCCACCTTTATAAAATAATTTTTCTCCATAAAAGGAACTTTTTAAAGTTAAGTTATATTTAATTATAGAAAAATCATATTCCTTCTATGTACTTTTATTCGTTCACTATACTAAAAATAAGGCGTGATCCAGTAGAGTGAAACTTTGATTTCTCATTCTAGAAGATGTTCTATCCGATTACTGCTTATACATATACAGACCAAACAGCAGATGTTTCAGGACAATTGAACTAAAACACATGAGACTTATTTACAAAGAGAAATCTATAACATGAAGAAAATAAGAAGCTTTTCTGGCAGTACTTATACAACACAAAGTCTCAACAAGAGTGCTCAGACAATGCCAACAACAAAACATCTAAGCTACTGAAAGCATATGTCCAACCTAGTCAAATGTTTGATAATCTACTTTTAAGTACTTCTCCATAACATTGATGTGTGTTCCTTTTCAGATCCCATGTACTCAAGTTTCGTTATCTTCCAGCGAAACGTCAAGCCTGAAACTAAGAGTAGTTAGCCACCAGATGATGGAATTGAACAACAATGTCCTTATGTTGATATAAAGAAAGTACAGATACTGAAATAGTAAACGTCTTCGGGGAAAAGAAAAGAAAGAAACTGAAACAGTAAAGGGAAGGGAAATCATCATTTCGTCATACAAATAGCAGAAAATTGCAACTATATTTTTTAGGACAGCACCATAACTCCCTTCATATTTCAAAATTTTGTGGCGCTTTGTAATAGCGCTACGTAAGCAAACTGTAAAAAAGGCATTTGACACTATCAAATGAGATGGGAACCATAATTATTAGAATAAAAAGAGAGCTTACCCCTCACCTTGTATTAGGCAAAAAGTAATCTTTCCTACAGTGTTTCACACCAAAGGTCTCTAGCTTGTCAAGGATGCAAGGATATCCGACTCTTTAGGAGTTATCCCATTTTGGTAATCTAAACCCTTCTTCCCAATTGCACATATATGTACACGCATTTCATATTTCCCAACGAGCTCAAATATGCAGATATCTCCCATATGGATGTCATTCTCTCGGACAAATGCCGACCATCCTCCGCAGAATGTGTGCAGCGTTTGTACCTTTACAGTCGGAATTGAATTTACAGTCCAACATTCTCCCTTCAAGTTCTGAAGCACAATCTCCGTTCTGCAGTTTGGGAGGTGTTCCATTGAAAACCGACATGGAACTTTCTGTGAAAGACGTAGAAGGCTCTAAGAACATGAATTTAAAGCAAAGAATAGCATGAGAAACGCCATAACATCCAACACCTTAAACTGGCCTAAGGAACAAGTATCAGCAGAAATGAAGAGAATGCCATAGGTGTAATCTATTCAAGACCAAAATAGTCAGTTAAGTGATGCTTTTACTTAATATTATGTTTTCTTTAATAAATGAAGCAGCTTTACTTATAGCACATCGAGATAGTATCAAAAGTACGCATGTTGATCCATACAACAGCTAGACTCACATATTTAAACTTTACAAATAACCAGTTTAATTTCCTTCTTGAGCAATCTCAATTCAGTTTCATGCCAAGACTATTTATTTCAATTGTGCATTGTTCTTTTTTCGGGTCAAATACATAAAATATTTAGTTCAAATTTTATTTATCTCTTTTTTAGATGCACTGATTATTCGTTCAAAGGTGTATTTCTTCTTTTCTTGGCCTTGATTGGAATATAATATCCTTAGCCAAATAAAAAATTTATAGTCAAAATACTGTTGTTCCATTTTATTTTATTTCTTATTTGTTACAGAATAGGCTCCGAAAAGATGATTTATATAATTAGTAAACTTAAAAAGGTAAAATATATATTTTATTCTAAAGAAAAGCCACATGGATTAAAAAAAATAATCCATGTAGCAGCGCGTGTGTCAGCGTTTAAGGGGATTGTGACAATCAAATTACCAAGTTGATGGGAGTAATTAAGCCAACGCCAAGTTTAGGTGTGCACCGAATAAGACTCGACAAGTTTAGGGGGGTCACCATCTATTTACTTTGATGTAAGCGCAATAGAATAGACACCACTAAATTTATAATTAACTTTATAGGTCACTGATGTAAAAACAAAAGGCATCACTAACAAGATTCACATCATTTACACGGATGTCTGGAGCACCTACAACCTACAATTGTCTTGACTTGGTTATATGGAAAGTCATAGATTAACACTTTGTATAGGGGCTGAGAGAAATACTCTCTTTTGTCAATCTGTTGCTTAACTATACCTCTTGTATATTTGCATCTACTTAATGCTTTTTTTAATGAAACATATTAATTACTTCATCAAAAAAAAAAAAAAAAAAAGATTCACTCAGACAACAATTTTGTTTTGACTGGTCAAATACCAAACACATCAACTCTATAGAGAGACAAAACTAGGCATCAAGTCCAGTGGGCATTTAGTTTCTACCTATGAAATAATTTTTAAGTTGGGAAATAATGTTTTTGACATATATTAAACATTTGAGAAAAAATGAACAAGCTCCAATAGAAAATATTGAAAAGGAAAAATATTTCGAAGATGATCATGAATGTTTGGAATCCATATTATGCAACCAGATGGAATGGAAAAGGTTGGGACAATAACAATAAATAAAAAGATAAAGCATGCAAAAGAACTCACCAAGGTGTAAGAGCCACTAATGTTGAATTTTTTCATGAGTCGCACGAAATGAGGGAAATTGGAAATGAAAGATTCAGCAGCCAATTTCTCTTCAGGTACTGATTTCATGGACATACAGCTCTTGGTGAAAGAACCCTGTTTATCTTGAGAACTAGTAGGTTTCCTGATTGCTGTTCGAGCACGATAGTTGAAAGGATTCAATACAAATTCAGTGTGAGGACGGACAGCTAAAATAAGTTAGTTAATTGTCCTTAAATTACCTGAATCTCCACTGCTAATCTTTGACTGAGAATGGAGCTGATGATTCTTCAACATATTACCATGTTTCTCTTTGTCAGGAGCACATCCTTTTTTATCGTATGTCATAACCTTCGCTTGATTAGAATTTGATCCCACTTTCCTGGACTTACATCCAGAATTTTTTGCATAATCAGTAACTAGTCCTTCATCAACTACCTTACTACTGTAATCACTTCCTTCCTTTTCCACCCTAAGAACACGCACACGTAATTCACACTTGCGGACAAGCTCAAAGATGCAGGTATCTCCCAAATCAATGTTATTGTCGCGAACAAAGGATAACCACCCTCCGCAAAAGGTATGTGATGTTTGTACTCTTGTAGTCGGGATTGAATTCACAGTCCAAGTTTTCCCTTTTAAATTATGAAGTAAAATCTTCACCTTGCAGTTGGGAAGGTGTTCCGTGGCAAATTGGTAAGGGATGTGCTGCCAAAGAAAATATGAAGGAGATCAACAAATCAAGTGATGCACATGCAGGAGTGGTGAAAGAAAAAATAACCTTGTCTAATCGTTGCAATATTACTCCAAACTAAACATCAAATAAAGGCAATGTCACCAGAGTGATTCATCTCCTACGATGAAGCAAATCCACATGGAAAAGCACAGGCATACCATAAATCAATCACTAATGATACAGAAGACTACAAAGGCAACTGAATGCCACAACTCCCTGGCGGATAAGATTGTTGTAATATATACTCCATCCATTTCAATTTGTTTCTCTTACTTTTTTTGATAAAGGTGAAATTAAATGTTTGTCTTACTTTACTTTTTAGTCCGTTTCAAAAAGAATGCCCTTCCCCTTTTTGGAAACTCTTTAATTCTAACTTTCCAGCACGTTTAAGACCACAAGATTAAAGGACATTTTGGTACATTCTATATGTCTTTGAATTAAAACCACAGGATTCAAAAGTTTCCTTTACTTATTAAACTCGGGCCAAGACCAGACAAACAAATTGGAACGGAGGGAATAGATAACAACAACATCAACCATATCAGGCAGGTTAAGGACAAATATGCAGTTAGTAAAACAAACAGAAACATCAGTAGGCAGCTCAGATATTGTTGGCAACAAAACTATAACAACCAAAACAACTTTACCATGCTGCACATAATCCTCAACCACAACATTCTTTAAAAAGATCTATGAAAAATTCTGATTGGTCAATAAAAATCAATTTCAATGCTATTTTTTTATGAGTTTAGCCAATTCATCATGAAAGGTAAAAGGGGATAAAGGAACCGTGTATTGATTATCTTGTAAATATAAGTTGTCTTCCTCAATAAAAGCTCATTTGACGCACTTATTGATAGTAAGATATGTTGAAGCAATGGATTACAGTAGCTAAGACTACTGTAAGATTTTGTAGTTCAGCAAGACATTTCAAGAAATGTTAGTTTAAAGAAAACAGAAGACCTACTCACCAGAGTGTATGAGCCACTGATGTTGAACCTCTTCATAACTTTAGTAAAGCTGGGGAAACTTGAGGTAAACAAACGGGCAACCTTTTCTGCTTCCTGTGTAGGCAACCACATATCTTTCTCGGAGGAAGCATTGCCTATTTTCATCTTTGCTTTAGATTCAAAATACCAGTTACTATTCCAAATCATTACTAAAAAATTTGTTATATAGTTATTTCTAACAGCTGAACTTTCATTGCCATTACGAAAACAACAAAAAATTTGGTTAGGAGAATTGCAGGGCAAAAATGTATACAAACACTTTGCACAGTAAGAAATATTACAAAGTTGTAAAGAATCAGGCAACACATGAGAAAAGTATGTTCTGAACTTAAATATACAAATAAAAGTGTCGGCTCTCTAAACACGTAGATTTTCGCCGAGGCAGTTGCACAATTCAATGGGAAAAATTGGTGTTTACTAAATGTCTGTGCATGATTAAAATGAACTGTAACATCAAATTGGCTTGATTAAACTTATGGACAATTCAAAGAACGCTTCTCAAACTAGAAAAATTGAACTGAAAACAATAAAAATAAACAATATAACCATTCACCTGGATTGCTAAAGATTATCTTTGCTTGAGCTGGCACAGCAATGGTAACTTTACTGTTTAATGCATCTCCAGCATTCTCCATTTCATCCAGAAAACTAGCAGCATAATTTCTTCCTGCATATGAGCAAACTGCATCTTCTGGAGTGTACCCATCCTTACTAGATGCAAGACCATGGGTATCCTGGCTACTTGTGCATTCGGAAGGGATCTCAGTGCTTCTCATTTTCTTCGGTACACCTTCAACAATGCAATCTAATAAAACGGAGTTCCCTCGGTCTCTTTTTTTCAGAGCAAGATTGTACAAGTCAGTTGCTCCTTAACTGCAGTCAGCGTTATAAGCAGCCTCCTTCTCACATGAACTCTCGTCAAATACTTGCACAGTGAAATGCAAATCACCATCATATCTGAAAACCAAAGAATCCCCTGTTTCAAGGCAGTGATCTTTAACAAATGAAACCCATCCATTGTGGAAGAATAAACCATCATCTTGCTGTATTAAGTCCACAGGCCAAGCATTTCCACTGGGACCCACCAAAACTGTTGTTCCGGAAACTCTTCCTTCCATTTCTTTAATGAATTTTGATGGAATTTTCTGCAATATAGAAATCAAAACAATTAATAAACTTTGCAAGAGTTGATAACATAAAGTTCTTCAGAAGAGTTTGTTTTTAAAATAAAATAACTTCATTTTAAAATGCATAGGCAAGTCGTTCCAAGAGCAACGGTTACTGATCTCTGTTACAAAACTCTTTATATTGCCTTGAAATAACGATGTTGGCATGTTGCAAAAGTATCACACGCCTGATGTAGCTCATTCATATGGAGCCTGTACACACCTATGCAGGGCCCTAAGTTAATCCCCACCTCATACTCTGAACGCTAAGATCTCAGTTTATAGCTTATGAAGTTTGTTAAACTTAAACAATGAATGTACCATTTGTCTGATACGTAGCATATCGAATAATCATATCTCTATGACACAATTATTTACTAAGTGAAGCAAATGTAGCTCAAAGTACTAAAAAACAACTACTAAAACAGCCTAAATAAAAAACAATCTCAATGCTGCATTCACTGTCACATGCATTTGTTATAGTTTCACTAAAGTTTGTTGCTTTGATCCAAAAACAACATTCTTGGCCAATGAGTAGTTTTTATAGTTACACTAAAGTTTGTTGCTTTGATGCAAAAACAACAATTTTAGCCAATGAATAGTCCTTATAGTTACACTAAAGTTTGTTGCTTTGATCCAAAAACAACATTCTTAGCAAATGAATAGTCCTTATAGTTACACTAAAGTTTGTTGTTTTGATAAAAAACAACATTCTTGGCCAATGATCAGTTTTTATAGTTACACTAAAGTTTGTTGCTTTGATGCAAAAACAACATTCCTAGCCAATGAATAGTCCTTTTAGTTACACTAAAGTTAGTTGCTTAGATCCAAAAACAACATTCTTGGCCAACCCCTTTCTTCAAAACACTTTTGCTCATTTGTACAATTAGCCCAAATGCAGTAAGAATAGCAACAAACCCAACACAGTAAAAAGATTTAAGTCTTTTTTTGACAGAATGATATATAGAGGAACAAAAAAGAAAAATTCAACAAACATGAATGTACCAACAAGTTGTGAAGCTAAGAGCAATATGGCAATGTGAACCAATGCTTACCAATTTTTCAGAATTCATGGAAGGGTTGAAACCCACAAGAAAATGAGGCCTTCTTGAATCCAACATCTCTATTTCCTCTCTTTTTCACCTAAATTTTGACGCTAAAACCCTAAAGAACCCCACAAAATTCCTTCAACCCCATTTTCTTAGAATCTGGGGATGTGAAATTAAGCAAGTAATCAAACACACAGCAATCAAAATTCAGAAAGCAAATGTTGAAAAAAAATGGAAAGTAATTGACTCGTAAAGAAGAAAGTTTCAGATGAAAATTAACAATTTCTGCACAGAGCAATGTGACCCGAGCGAGCTGGTGGGGTGGAGTGGGGGTGTGGTAAAGGAAATTCCTGAAATACCCCGTGGGGTAAAGCGTGAGTTACACGTAGAACAGAATGGGGAAATCAAGGCGCGTGGGTTAAGTGAAGAAAGAAAGTACAAACACTTGTGATTAGGATATAATCAAATGATAATTAAGATTTAGGATGTAAAAATAGAAAAATTGAAGCATTCGATTAGTCATGGGAGTTAATAATTATTTTAACAGTTTTTCTTGGCTTAATTTTATTTTTCTTTTAATTGATTCGAATTACTTCAACCAATTCTATTCACATCTATTGAAATTTTAAAGCAATGTTTTACATGATCCTACATAAAAAAGGTATGGAAGTTGTTTTTAGATGTCCTCCTGTATTTATAGTAATACGTAGTATTTAATAATTATGTAGTTTTTCATTTTTATTTATGCTTTTTATTGTATGTCGTTCTTTTTTGCTTTGTTGCTTGAATTTTTGTTGTCTTAAGTCGATGATTTATGCATATATATATATACTAGATATGAAAGGGCCCGTTAACGGGCCCAATATTACAATCTTAAATATATTATTTCGCAACTAAAATATTAAAATGCATCTATGTGTCGCGGACTTGCTCCAGATAGTGTTTCTTGACCTTTCTCATAATTAACTATCTAAAACTCATTTAATCATTTACGATATCTTTCCTACTACAAATAATAACCTTGAATTCATAATTCATAATTCAAATTCAAGGTATAGATAAGAGTTATGTCTTGAGAGTTCTTTCGAGTCTTTTGAGAAAGTCCCTTTGAGTCTTTTGAGAGTCTTCTATTATTTCTAATAACTTGTTTCAAGACTCGAGTAAGTGAGTATGAGAATGATGAAAATGTATGCATGAGTCTACACTATCATCGAGATCCTTCATATCATGAATCATAACTCTTGAATTCATAATTCATAATTCAAATTCAAGGTATAGATAAGAGTTATGTCTTGAGAGTTCTTTCGAGTCTTTTGAGAAAGTCCCTTTGAGTCTTTTGAAGAGTCTTCTATTATTTCTAATAACTTGTTTCAAGACTCGAGTAAGTGAGTATGAGAATGATGAAAATGTATGCATGAGTCTACACTATCATCGAGATCCTTCATATCATGAATCATAACTCTTGAATTCATAATTCATAATTCAAATTCAAGGTATAGATAAGAGTTATGTCTTGAGAGTTCTTTCGAGTCTTTTGAGAAAGTCCCTTTGAGTCTTTTGAAGAGTCTTCTATTATTTCTAATAACTTGTTTCAAGACTCGAGTAAGTGAGTATGAGAATGATGAAAATGTATGCATGAGTCTACACTATCATCGAGATCCTTCATATCATGAATCATAACTCTTGAATTCATAATTCATAATTCAAAATTCAAATTCAAAAAAGAGCTAAGAGTAGAGTTCAAGAAAGTCTTTGAGTTCAATTGTAAATCCTTTGAGATCAACTATTGATTTGAGCTAAGTTTTGAGGAAGTAAGTATGAGAATGAGAAGAATCATATACATGAATTCCATATTGTTATTTAGACCCTCGAGTCGAGTCGTTTATGCCCATAAATTCCGTATGAAGTTCATAAGTTGAGTATCTTTGAGAGGAGTAGTATCTTCAAGTTCTAAGTCTTGAGTATTGAGTTCCTAATCATTTTGGGATTATATTAATTGTAAATAATATATTCAGTAATTAATAATTTATGTATTGTTGTAATCTCTACATAACTAATACCAACATAACTAATACCAACATAACTAATACCAACATAACTAATACCAACATAACTAATACCAACATAACTAATACCAACATAACTAATACCAACATAACTAATACCAACATAACTAATACCAACATAACTAATACCAACATAACTAATACCAACATAACTAATACCAACATAACTAATACCAACATAACTAATACCAACATAACTAATACCAACATAACTAATACCAACATAACTAATACCAACATAACTAATACCAACATAACTAATACCAACATAACTAATACCAACATAACTAATACCAACATAACTAATACCAACATAACTAATACCAACATAACTAATACCAACATAACTAATACCAACATAACTAATACCAACATAACTAATACCAACATAACTAATACCAACATAACTAATACCAACATAACTAATACCAACATAACTAATACCAACATAACTAATACCAACATAACTAATACCAACATAACTAATACCAACATAACTAATACCAACATAACTAATACCAACATAACTAATACCAACATAACTAATACCAACATAACTAATACCAACATAACTAATACCACATAACTAAACCATGCATAACTAATATATGCATAACTCTAACAATAACCAAACGGCCCCTAACTACATTATCCTTTTTAAATTTTTTATCACAAATTATTTATTCTTATAAAAATGACCCCATTTTTAAAAAAAAACACATTCAAACAATCAAATATTATTTGCAAAATCAATAGCTTAACACAAGTTTCAACTTCAAAAAAATTTAAATAAAGTGAATTTTTTTTGTAATAGTATGTGGTAGTTCTTATATGAGATCTAATCTATGACATTATACAACTATCTATTTTGAGATATTATTTTATTTAGTGCAATTTGGTTGTATGTTTCAGGTAAATTAGTCAAGTAATTTTTAGAAACTGAGGAATATAAACCATATTTAGAAAAACATAATATATAAGTATATCTTTTAACTTGACTTTGTCTGACATCTATGACATTCAACTTAAGGTGTGCACAAGTAAGCACTTAAAATTTAATAGAGTTGAGAAGTAGACACACGCATTCTACGAGGAATAACACACGTAGGAGCCACATAAAATGTCGCATAGGACGTGAATTATATTATCATGTAGGACGTCAAGTAGAACACACAAGTGTCAACTTGTTCAATTCTATACAATATTATGTGTCTACTTATGAACATGACATAGATGTTAGATGAAAACAAATTAAATGATATATTTATGTATTATGCCTTTACAAAAAGTATATTTAAATTCTAAATATTTTTGCATAAAATTTAACCAAACACGACTTCAACTATAAATTTTTAAATAAAATAAACAGTATTTTTTTCATGACCAAAACCACACTAAGAAAGGAAATTGATTAAAAATCCCTCAAATTTGAATTTTGGTATGAAAAAATCTCATTAAAAATTATACATTCAAAAATAAAAAAGATTTTTTAAAAAAATGTATCAGCTTGAATGTAAAGGTTTTTGAAGTAAATCAATAAATGTGGTCCATGTAACATTGCAATGATTTCTTTTACTCCTCCCAATGTATTGGTACACGTGTGGACATTAGAATCCACAACTATTGACTTAGTGGTGGATTACATTGGGAATTATATAATTTTTGGTTGATTTTTCTGGAAATTTTAATACTTTATGCACAATGTACAATTAAATTAAGCTTGAAATTTAAATAAAATAAACAGTTTTTTTTCATGACCAAACCACACTAAGAAAGGAAATCATTAAAATCCCTCAAATTTGAATTTTTGGTATGAAAAAATCTCATTAAAAATTATACATTCAAAAATAAAAAAGATTTTTTTAAAAAATGTATCAGCTTGAATGTAAAGGTTTTTGAAGTAAATCAATAAATGGGGTCCATGTAACATTGCAATGATTTCTTTTACTCCTCCCAATGTATTGGTACACGTGTGGACATTAGAATCCACAACTATTGACTTAGTGGTGGATTACATTGGGAATTATATAATTTTTGGTTGATTTTTCTGGAAATTTTAATACTTTATGCACAATGTACAATTAAATTAAGCTTGAAATTTTTTTTGGTTGACAAAAATGCCTTTGGTCGTCCTCTCTTCACCTTTCTATATAATAGATAGAAATATATATAATAAGTGGGAATATATACTACTTACCACATGACAAGTGTTGGATGATATGTGCTTGATAGTGTTGTACATTCTTCTTTTATGGTTGTACCTTTAAAATTTATATTATTGGACACTACTACTTTATTAGCCCAAAAGTTTGACCTCATTGTCATATGAATTTGAACAAATTATATATTATTAAAAGTTACATAAAAGATGCTATAAATCACAATAATTAGCAATTAAAAATATTTTTAAATCATATAAGAAATTTGGTTGACTAATTGGAATAGAATAAGTAACATGTACTATTTGAAAATAACGTCAAAATTTCTAGAATTCACAATAAATTAACAACTGAAAATATTTATGATTATTCACGTGAATTGAAACATGAGTAACCTATATTATTCAAAACTAACGCAAAAATACTATAAATCACAACAATTTAATAACTTCAAATATATTTTTAAGAAAACATATAAAAAAATCGACTGATCTTCAAATTCCATTTATATCACATAAATTATAACAAAAAATTAATATTTATCACGGGAACCAAATATCTATATATATATGTCACAAATGGAAAAGTCCCAATCAAGGAAACAACATTTATCATTTACAAATGACTTCAAAAGCATTAAAATTACAATAATTACCAATTTAAAATATTTAAAAGCTATATAATAAATATAGTTGACTCTCAGAATTCTAGCAGGCTCACATATATTGGGACAGAAAAAATAACACATATCATTTTAAAGTTACCAAAAAAGTATTATAAATAATAATAATTAACAACTTAAAATATCTGAAAGACATTTTAAAAGGGTTAATTTTGTAATTTTATCCATATCACATAAATTAGGACAAAGTGACCAGTAATGTACGTTATTTGAAAGTTTACATAAAAATATTATCAATCACAATAATTTAATAACTTTAAAACATTTTTTTAAAAAAATATGAAAATTTTGGATGACTCTCCAAATTTCATTTGTATCACATAAATTGAGACAACAAAAATAACATATATTGGGTCCAGTTTAATTTATTTGTCTTATTTTTTTGAGTTTTTTTATATTTAAAAATTCCGTAAAAATACTA